CTAGAAGCATTCACTCATGGCAGTGTAAACTCGAAGCTGTTCACTGCTGGAGATACATGGTGTCTGACTTGAGGTCCTTAATTCTCAGATGTTTGCTCAACAGTTCGTGAATGATGTGTCTGTGGGTTTGGATGTTTGGGCCCCCAAACTAATTAATCACACTTAAAAATCCTGGATCACACCTATATGGCAGAAGGACCTCACTACAATGTCATCATATCAAGATGATAGAATCATGGAATGGGTTGGGTTGGAAGGGACCCTTAAAAAACACCCAGTTCCAACCCCCATTGCCATGGACAGAGACACCTCCCACCAGACTAAATTGCATCATCCAGCCTGGTCTTGAACACCTCCAGGGATGGGGCATCCACAGCTTCTCTGGGCAACCTGTTCCACTGCCTCACCACCCTCTGAGTGAAGAATTTCCTCCTAACGTCTAATCTAAATCTCTCCTCTTTTAGTTTTCATCCATTTCCCCTTGTCCTGTCATTATCTACCCAACTAAAGAGTTCTCTCCATCTTTTTTTATAAGACACCTTTAAGTATTGACATGCTGCAATGAGGTCTCCCTGGAGCCTTCTCTTCTCCAGGCTAAACAGCCCCAGCTCTCTCAGCCTTCCTTCACAGGGGAGATGTTCCAGCCCTCTGATCAACTTCGTGGCCCTCCTCTGGACCTGCTCTAACAGCCCCATGTCCTTCTGGTGCTGGGGGCCCCAGACCTGGTTATAGCACTCCATGTGGGGCCTCACAAGGGCAGAGCAGAGGGGCACAATCCCCTCCCTCCCCTTCTGCCACCCCTCTGGTGATGCAGCCCAGGACGCAGTTGGCCTTCTGGGCTGCAAGCACGCACTGCTGGCTCGTGTCCAGCTTTTTGTCCACCAGAACCCCCAAGTCCTTCTCCACAGGGCTGGTCTCAGTGAGTTCTTCTCCCAGTCTGTCCTCATGTCTGGTATTGCCCCAACCCAGGTGCACACCTTGTACTTGGACTTGTTGAACCTCATCAGGTTCACATGGTTCTACTTTTATAGCTTGTCCAGGTCCCTTTGGATGGCATCCCTTCCTTCTGTTGTACTGACTGCACCATTCAGCTTGGTGTCATCTGCAAACTTGCTGAGGATGCACTTGATCCCACTGCCTATGTCATTGACAAAGATATGAAACAGTGCCAGTCCAGAGACTGACCCCTGAGGGACACCACTCATCACCAGCCTCCACGTGGACATTGAGCCATTGATCACCAATCTGGGTATGGCCTTCAAGCCAATTCCTTATCGACTGAATGGTCCACCCATCAATTCCAACTCTCTCCAATTTGGAGATCAGGATGTCATGTGGGATTGTGTTGAAGGACTTACAAAATCACCTCCCTCGACCTGCTGACCACACTTCTTTTGATGCAGTCCAGGATACAGTTAGCTTTCTGGGCTGCAAGTGCACATTTTTGGCTCATGGTGAGCCTCTCAAGGTCCCTCTGCATGGCATCCCTTCCCTCCAGCGTGTCAACTGCAGCAACCAGCTTAGTGTCATTGACAAACTCACTGAGCGTGCATTTAATATCACTGTCCATGTCACCAACAAAGATATTAAACAGCGCCAGTCTGCATAATGACCCCTAAGGAACACAACTTGTGACTGATCTCCACTTGGACACTGAGCTGTTGACCACAATTCTTTGAGTGTGACCACCCAGCCAATTCCTTACCCAACAAGTGGTCCATCTATCACATCCATGTCTCTTCAATTTGTAGACAAGGATGCCATGCAGGACAGTGTCAAGTGCTTTGCATAAGTCCAGGTAGATGATGTCAGTTGCTCTCCCCTTATCCACCAATGCTGCAACCCCATCACAGAAGGCCACCAGATTTGTCAGGCACCATTTCCTCTTAGTGAAACCATATTGGTTGTCACCAATCACCTCCTTATTTTCCATGTGCCTTAGCATAGTTTCCAGGAGGACTTGCTCCATGATCTTGCTGGGCACGGAGGTGAGATTGACTGGCCTGTAGTTCCCCTATTTATTTTTTTTTCCATTTTTAAAAATGAGGGCTATGTTTCCTCTCTTCTAGTCAGTGGGAACTTCATCAGACTGCCACAGCTTCTGAAATATGAAGAACAGTGGCTTAGCAACTTCATCTGCCAGTTCCTTCAGGTCCTGCAGATGCATCTGATCTGGCCCTACAAACTTACAAGTAAGAATTTCACTGTATTTTACATGAAGCTACACAGCACAAAGGGATACTTAAATCTTCATGACTTGAATTTTTTAAGGGGAAAAAAAAGGGGAAAATGATGATTGATGATAGTGTAGTGATGTATTCAAGCCCTGCATGTAGGTTTTGTCCTCTTCTTCTAGTGGAGCTGTGCTGTTGATGGATGTGCTTTCATCTAATTTTAGCTGGCACAAGTCCTGCCTAGAAATGTTTTGAATGGCTAAGGAGCTTTTGGTCAGTACTGCTTATTTCATCTGCAGACCTAGAGCAAAGTACACAGGAAATTGACTTCTGCTGTGTCAAATCAAGTGTGTTTTTGGGAAGTTTGCTATACTTTTAAGAGAAAGTTTAGAAGAAATATGTCTGGAGACAGACAAGGTAAAAAAAAGAAGCAAGGAAGAGTGATGAGATAGCTCTTTCTGAGCTGAGAAAGCTGGTCTTTTTCTACTCTATAATTTAGTAGGGTGTTTTTAGAAAGTTAGCTAGCTCTCACTGATGTTTTTGAAAGCTACGCTCAAAACAGATTGTGCTTTACCCATATATTAATTGAATCAATTTGCAGCCTCTTTTCTCTAATGAGTGACATACATTAAATTACAATTTGTCTAGTCTTGACCAGAATTGTAGATGTTTTTGATGCTTTTAGATTTTGTTAAATACTAGGTTTCACCAGCTATCATGTAACATTAAATATAAAAAACTATACCTTTTAACATCTGTCATGCCCTATTTGCTGTCTAGTCACAGCCGTAATTTTGCTGTTCTTCATCAGGCACAAAGCTGTAATTAAAAATTACAGGGCTTTTAAAGGGCTTAGTAAAATTGTACTCACTAGGGATGTCCTCAGGGCCCACAGCTGAAATGCAGTTACCAGTCAGAAATTCAGCATACTAATGGAGATAGGCTCCAGCTCTCCACATCCACACCATCTGAACTCCAAGTCTTGATTTATTCACACTATGGCTTCCTAACTCATTCTAACCAAGAAAGCAATGCTTCACATATACACTAGTCAGAAAATCGCACTAACTTACCTCCAAATACCGTCATGATTAAATAAATACATAATGATGAGTCGAATACATAAGCTTAACACAAAATGTCATTAAGATCACAAAAGTTTATGTAGCGAAGAAGAAATTTCTGAAGGTTGTGTGTGTTATATATTTGAAAACAATCAAACCTAGGAACACCCCATTATCTTGACAGAAAGTACGGGAGTATCAGCCCATTTCACACAGCAGCTGGGATCAGGTGTGTGGTTGTGTTGTCTTCTGCAGTCTCTGCATATCCTCTCAATTATAATCACTCACAATGCATTGTGAGTATGCCTACTGCTTTGCAGATACATGAAAGACAAGGCTGCTGCTCGAGGGAGCTTGTATCTTGACTCATATACAACACAAAGGCTAATAGTTCAAATGCATATGAGAGCAAAGAATAAGTGAGATCTTCAGGGCAAAGTTGGTAATAGAAGGCTTCAGGCCAGACTGAAGCTTTTAGGCTGTCCTGGATAGGCTCTGGTTTTCCTTCATAAAATAAATAATGAAGACCCAGTTTTATTTTAATCAATTCAGATATTTCAGGAATGTCAAAATTCCTGGGATTTATGAGCACCGCACTCATTACACACGTTACATTCTTGCACTCTAATTTGAACTTGTGGAGGTTTGTTTTGCAAAAATAACCTGTCCTGAATAACGCTCATTAGTTGCAATAGCCAGTGCTAGCAAATAAAAAGAACATGTGCAAATGTTTTCATGCCCCAGATGTATATGCCCTTGAATACTCCATCCCTCTGCTCTTGTCCTCTCAATTTCATTAATGACTTGTGTGGGTGAAGGAACTCAAAGAGTCTCTCTGTGTAGGCTACTATTTGCTGGAAAAAAAAAAAAAAAAAAAAAAAAAAAGAAAAAGAAAAAAAAAAACAGTTTTGAGGGAAAAATCTTTTAAAATCCTTTTGATATCTCAAAATGAAACTTAAAAAGTTTCATTTTGCATTGCTTTTCAGACAGCAAACATCTCAGGACAGGTCCTGAGTGTGACAGATGTTTGGTATAAGACTTGTGAGGAGTCAAAGTAAAGACTTGGTTAGGATGTTGCTAATCTCCTTCCATTTTGGGATTTTTTGGCTGACGTGTCAGAGTGGTCAGATAGATACCTTAAAGGAGGCTATAGAGAGGTGGGGATTGGTCTGTTCTCCCATAAGCCTGGTGACAAGATGAGGGGAATGGGCTAAAGTTGCGCCAGGGGAGGTTTCGGTTGGATATTAGGAAGAACTTCTTTACTGAAAGGGTTGTTAGACATTGGAATGGGCTGCCCAGGGAAGTGGTTGAGTCACCATCCCTGGAAGTCTTTAAAAGACGTGTAGATGTAGAGCTTAGGGATATGGTTTGGTGGAGGAGTGGCTAGTGTTAGGTCAGAGGTTGGACTCGGTGATCTTGAGGTCTCTTCCAAACTAGAAATTCTGTGATTCTGGATAAAGATGGTGAACAGAGGAAGACTGAGGACCTCACACTATGGCATGACTGCACCCAGAGGCGATGATGGCATCTTCCCAATGCCCTTTTTGTGCCCTTCTCCCAACAGAACCCCCCCTTTTGCCCAGTCAGGCACAGCAACGCCACTGACGCTCAACCCCTAGCGGTCTGCACCCTCCAACAACACCCCCACCACCACCACCCCGCTCTCTCCTCCCCATTCCGGCACCAACAACCCCTCCACTGGGCCCTGGCGGTGTCGGGGGCTGTGCCGGGGACTACATTTCCCGTGGAGCCCAGGGCAGGCGCGGCCCCGCCCGGCTGTCAGCGGCCGCGCTGCAGGTTGAGCGCGGCGGCTGCAGATGAGCCGAGCCCGTGCGCGGGCGGGGCGGGGGGGGGCGGCCGGGGCAGCGCCGCCGGGACCGGGACCGGGGCCAGGACCAGGACCAGGACCGGGTTTGGGGTTGGGACCGGGCTCGGGACCGGGCTCGGCGCACTATGCGAGGCCGGGAGGATGGCGGTGGAAGGTAAGGAGGGCTCCGCGTCCCTTCGCTTCGCTGCCCCCGGGGGCCCGCCCGTTGTCTCCTCCCCTCCGGGCTCTCACCTGCGGTGTGGGTTTGGGGTGGGAGGGGGGCGGCCCCCCCCAAAAAAAGAAAAAAACAAAACGAGGGGTGCGTGAGGGGAGGCAGGTGGGGTGGGGGCATGCAGAGCCCTGGGGTCGGCCCCGAGGTGCCGCCCCGGAGGGTGGGGGCGGCGGGTCTGCGCCTCCTGCCCTCCCTCCCTCCTTCCCCTCTTCCTCTCCTTCATTCCTCCCCTCCTTCCCAAATTTCCCCCAAGGCCCTGAGCACCCCCCAGGGCTTCTGCCCCCCGCTGCCGACCCTCCAGTGCCTCCCCCACTGACATGGTCATGAGCCCCAGGCAGCCCCCAGCCCGGGGACGTGTGTGCCCCTTTTACCCCCTTTGCCCCCTGCCATCCCCCCCCTTTGCCCCCTTTTCCTTCCCCGAGCAAGAGGTGCCCAAATTCAAGGGGACAGAGCTCGGTGAGCAGCCCAGCTCCCGAGACAGGTGGCTGCATTGTGGAGGTCTTCTGGTGGGCGCGTGGTCCCTCTCCGTGCAGCTTTTGGGGAGGTCATGAAGCGATGCTGGGTCGGTGTGTGGGGACAGGTACATCTTCCCCCTCGCTGTCTGCCTCTCAACTTCCCTGTTTTCTAGCATTCAGGGCCCATCTTGCTCTCCTCTGTGCCCGCAGGAGAGCCGTAGGAGTCCACGGTGTGACAACCAGCCACACAGCCACCCCCTGTGCATAACTCAGGGTATGTCGCTGTTTTGGGGGTGCTCGCCTTCAGGCAGCCCTCGTTCAGCTGCTTCTCAGGTGTGCTGAGATCTGTGGCTCCATCTGAGGCCGCCTGTGTCCACGAGGATCATGCTGAAGCTCTTTAAAGTACCCAAGTGAGCAGCACAAATTAGTGCCGAGCTGAAACTTGGCCAGTGGACACCTCAGCATCCCTGTGAACCAACTTCCTAGGCAAACTTATATTAAGGTAAATAAAGCCCCTGTGTCTCAAAAGGTGCCTGTGCCGAGATTTCAGCCTCTCCTTAAGCCAAACAGATCCTTATGCCCAGGGTGCTTTGCTGAATAGCAGTTTTGGAGACTGTAACGGTGGAAGGAAGGTAGTGGTCCTGGATGAAAGCATCTCTTCTGCTGTGGCAAAAACTTAGCAGTGTGAACCACGCATGCGTGCCTGGTAGTGGGTAAGTAAATGAAATGGACTGCCATGCACCAGATGGTTCATACGCCAGCAGCAACCCCTCTTTCTGTGTGTCATCCTCCTTTATTCACTTGGAGCCCTTCTCAGTCTGTTTGCTAGATTTTTTCAGGTCTGTAATAATTCCTGTCATATCTGCAGTGCCTTCCATCTGAGAATCTCGAAAAGCTTGGTAAATATTAATGAAGGAAAGCTCTGCTAAACCTTTGGGAAGCAGTGCCTCTCCTTTCTCCCGAGCTGATTTGGGATTTGTTTCCTCTTTAACCCCTTCTTCCCATTTCCTCTCCCCAGGATGCATCCCTGCTGTGGGCTCTCAAAACAGGCCTTCGTGTCTGCATGTCCCACTTTCCCCTCGCTTTGTTTGCTTCCTCCCTCGACTTTTCTTGCCTTTGTGCTGCTGCACAGCTCTGTCCCTCTCCCTAGCACAGCGAGGTGACTCCTTACTTCTCCAGCACAAGGAGCCTTGTGGTCCATGACTACTTTCTGTCAATGCAGTGCGTGCACGTTTACGTCCCTTTCTTACCCTTAATTTTCTTTTGGGACCGGGCTTCTTTGTGCAAAGGCGCTTAAAAGCGTGCTTTTATCTTAATGCATGCTCCACAATATCGGAGCCCTGGGTGTGGGCCGTGTGCTTTTCATGACCTGTGCCTCTTGGCAGGTAACACGTGGCCCTTTTGTTAGGGAAGCCCAGCTCACCCCGTGTCCCTCATGGCTCCTGTCACTGCACCACGTGGATTGCACTCCAGGCAAAAGCAAAGCTGCTGTGGAATTTTCCAAATTTAAAGAGTTTTGGAGAAAAAATGCCAATTTGCTTGAACTCAATGTCTTGGACTTAGGGAACACAAACTGCTTTTTTTTTTTTTTAGTTGATTTGTTTGTTTTTGTTGGAAAAAAATGTTTTCCTGCTTTGCTGCTTGGGACCTTGAGAGCATAACCTTGTGCACATCAGCTCTGGAAGCCTGGTAATAAGGAGGGCCCTGAAAACCTGGCTTAAGCGGAATGTGTCCAGCCTCTCAGGCTCAGCTGGGAGCTTGGCTAGTGTGGACTTCCTGGGACTTCAGAGCTTTTTTTATTATTATTATTTATTTTTTTTAGTGTCACGAGGCTTCTAGACTGCCAGGCCTGCTCACTTCTCGTGCGGGCTCGCAGGCGGCTGGCTCTAGGACACGAGTGGCAGGGAGTGGGGTGGTCCCTGGGGGCAGGAGGGAACCACAGGTCCTGGAGCATGGGAGTTCCTGGCTGGAGCCAGCATCCGCTGCCTGACCAGCTCTGCCACTGCTATTGTTCTGGGGAAAACAGCCTCAGCCACCAACCCAGAGAGCGTTTTTTTTTTACCCTCTTTCATTTCAGAAACACTCCGTGTGGCTGAAATGGCAGCATTTTGTAACATATAGTTTGTGGAGAATCTTTGGGGGAAAAAAAAAATGGACTTTATTTTAACAACCTGTTGAAATCTTCCTCGGGTTTGATTATTTTTAATGCCGTCTTAGGACAGATTGCTGGAGTTTAGTTATGGTAACAAATGTCCAGCAGTTTACTTAAAGAAAACATCCCTTTTTTTTTTTTACTGGAATAGCTGACAGAGATGGATTTGCAAATATGAAATAGGAATTTGGAGGATCCCAGAGTTCTTTGGCAGTTGCATAACACATACCTGAGCGGGGGTTCAGAGGGACTCAGCCAAAATAGTTCGATCTTGGTTCGCCCTACTTGTCCCGAAAGAGATCTCGTGGACTGGGTGGTCCTTCAGGCTCATAGTATCAGTGCTTGGGATGGATGAACATATCAGAGTCTGTGTGGGGAGAGAGAGTTTGCTCTCCTTAACACGAGCCCATCTAGATGGGAGCACTGCCAAGGTAAGGCTAATTTTAGACCTAGCAGTTTTGACAATGTTCCTTTAAGTGTTTTCCTCCCTCTAGTAAGAATGAAAGAACTAGGTCAGAGCCAGTCGAAAAAGGCTTTTGATCCCTGCAACAGTGTTCTCAAAAATATATTATTATTTTTTTTTGCTCTTGTGCAGCAGAGGAAAAGGGGAAGAGAGAATGGTGACTTCCCCCCCACAATGCTTCTTGCACAGGAAAGCAAGAGACTGACAGCAGCCAGCAGCTAATGTATGTGTGCAGGTAATCCCACACAGTTCTGTCAGCTCCCCTGCAGCTCTGACCTGCAGCATCTTGGAGATTTCTGAGCAAAAAAAAAAAAAAAAGTGCTAATTATGTCACGGAATTATTGCCTAGCGAGTGTTCAGTGGAGCTTGGTCTAATGCCTTCTCTTCCATGCGTGTGCTTTGGAAAGTATATGCATATGTTCATTGCTAGTCTCCTCCTGAAAGCTGATGGAAAAATAAACTCTTTCCTGTCCTATGGCTCTTCTGCAGTGGTGGATCTGCCTGCTGGAGAACGTTTTTCCCTAGGAAGGAGACTTGCTGACATAAAATGACAGAAAGGCTCTGGCCTTGCCCCGTGGCAGTCCTGAAGGAGACTGGAGGCTCAAAGGATTTGAGAGTGTTATGGGGTCTGGAGCCAAGGCTAACTGCTGCAAGACGAAGTTTTTTTGCAGCCTGTAACTGACTTCTGTCAGAGCAGTCCTGAATTTCAGCAGTGTGATACACCTGGGTGGAAAGCTTGCAGTGCTCAGCCAGCCCCGGCGGATATTGAGTGCTGCCATGTGTTTCCTCAGAGCCTTGCGATACGGTGAGCTCATAACTTGCAGTGCCAGCGCTGCCAAGACTGTTAAAGCAAGTTCAGGACCATCAGAAAGGGAGCTTCTAGTTTTAGTGTAGGCATCTGTCATGCTGTCCCACAGGGTGCTCAAAAATACAACTGTCTTAACAAGTTTTTAGTTATTCGGCATTTCCTTGCTCCTAAACCCACTCCAGGCTCAGACCAGGTGTCTGCACACCTAAGATGTCACTGGAATCTGATCTAATACTGTCGGTTTTTCAGCACACTTAATTCCTTGCCTAGCAAAGAAGTCACAAATCCTGCCATCCAAAAGGTCTGTGCTTCCATCAGTGCTTGTTTTCCTTAATAGTTTCCAACCACTCCTTAGCTTGAGGGGCTCAGGAAAGCTTGGAAAGAGCTGCCAGTTGGACGCAGAGCTGATGTATGTGTCTGCCTCTCTGGCTCAAAGTGTCCCCTCAGATTGTAGCAGAGGAGATCAATAGGACCAGTGGTGGAAGCACGCACAGGACAGGCAAGAGGAAGACCTGAACTGCAGCCTTTGATCTTCGTGCTGCTTCTGTATGTTGCTTGGTGACCATTTATTGTAAAAATGCCTCAGCAGTTACAGGGTTTCCAGGCTGGAACATAGCTCCTCTTCCACCCCCTTCCACATGGCTGTGTTCCTGTTGGGCAGTAACATCTGTGCTCCTCTTTCTTGCTCAGCAGCAGCCTGATTTTGGAGGATAAGGCTTCCCTTCGTGCCCCTGCCTCAGTGTGCACACAGCTTGGTGGCAATGTGCTCCTCTGTCCTCCTCTGAACCACTCCTTAGCAGCTCAGAGAGGAGAGATCTCCCTTTGAAAAGTCAGCTCTGTTGCAGTTCCTTGCATCTTTGAAAAGACAGATAGTTAATGATCCTTCTCCAGAGGAATACTGTTACTGTCTAAAGCCAGAAGTCTGTTTTGGACTGCAGGCTCTCATCAACAGGTGCACTGTGGCAATCAGACACCCCAAAATTAAGCTGGTGCAATGAAGAGTGGCACTATGCTAAAGTCACCTTGGGTGAGTTTAGACCGAGTGGCAAGGGGATATGATTTCAGGTTGTGTGCTCATTTTCCTCTACCTGCTTTTAGAAATGAACTCACATTAGGCAGGAATCAGGCAGTTTAGGCTTGGCATATCACTGCGTTTTCCTTGGAGGAGATTTTGCTGTAGCACAAGAGCGTACCTGAAAATTCAGAAGTGTTTTCAGGTCAGCCAGTTCCATGACTGTTTGTTCTTACCCTTTAAAACACCTGGAAAACTCCAAAGCTCCAGGAGGACATTGATTGATATAAATTGGCTGTTCTGATGCAATGGAATCCCATCCCAAGGATCAAACTTGGCTGCTGGTGGTGGTGATGTATGGGCGAAGGAAAGAATGGTGCTTTGAAAGTTTCTCTACCAAGAAGAGAAAGTGAGAGAGCGAATGACAGAAGATAGATGTTATTTGCATTTCCTAACATGCTGCTGGAAAGCACTGACAACGCCTGTAGTGACACTGTAGGATCCCACATTTATTGCTTAAATAGAACTTATAAAGCAGAATTTTTCTTTTCTTTTATTTTTTTTTCTTTTATTTTTTTTAGCAAGGTAGGTAACATAAAGGAGGCTGTGTAGCTTCCTCCCACGGGTCAGTTTATGAGGGCAGGGCAGGCTGTTTGGAGCCAGTCTCTTGGACTTTGCAGGACTGCTTTGTCCCAAGGGTTACAACAGGAGAGTAGCAGCAAGAAACACTGTGGGTGAGGCATTGCAGCCAGGCGGTGTCAGAGCTGCAGATCGGTTAGGGGTGCTATGTCTGGTTCTGCTGCTAACTTTCTGTGTTGTCACGGCTGAGACAGCTTTAG